AGTAAGTTCTAGCAATCATGTTCCTGCCGAAACCCATAAAGCTAAGTGTTTTTCAAGTCGTATAATATCCTTTCTAAGTCTTCTAGAGCACACATATCATTATACAATTTGGCAACCTCTAAACCAGATGGGGATCAATGTTTTCAGTGTGGTACATTATACTTTGCTATAATAGAAGCTCTAGGTAATAAATGTTTCTGCAACCAATTTAAAGTGAATCCATTATGCAAATATAATACCTGCATAAAATCATTGATGTTACAGTTTAGCATCATGTATTAAGCTTGTTTTAATGACTTCCTAAGATAAGTTTGTTCAAACAAGGGAAAAATAAAATATAATCAACTTGCATGTAGCCATTGTAGTAAGAGGAAACAGTGGCATTTAAGTCTCCAGAATTTATCTTTTAAAATTTGATTTATTCTGAATATAATCAAGGTTGGATTTAACCAAAGAATCAATAGAGAATATACTAGGTTTTCATGAAAAGACATTTCTCTCTGTGTGGCTTTCTGGCATATTTTTCCCCCTAAAATGTCTGCATATTATATTGATGTAAATATAATATGAGTATAAATAAACATACATATAGATGTAAATGGTATTAGTATGTATTTATATGTAGGCATATGCACAGACACCCAAACACACAGACACACACATGCACATACACAGTAATATTTCTTATATCTACCTTCTTGTAGTTAATTAAAATAATGTATTCTTCCTCTATTGTGTTATTCTAGGGTAGTTATATTAAGGTATATATTAATTTTTGAATAACATAATATGTTAATAGATTCCTAGTCCTCAAAGTGAAAAACAGAAAATGCAGAGAAACACAAAGTTTTTAGTTTCTAGAATAAGTGTTAAATGGGAGCCTGTGTTATTGGCTCTGATTCGCCTCTAGAGATGCCAATTGGAAACCTCAGAGGCCACTTCTTTGCTGGCCTTCATTCTCCCCACAGCGCACATCCAGGAGGAGCCACAAAACGCTGTAAGATTCCGGCAGTCCTAATATTTCCCTAACATTAGCAGCTTCACAACCGTTACCTGCCTTGATTCTATCCCCACAAATACCATTGCACCTTTACCTCTGTTTCTGATCGTTCATTCATCTTCACAAGGAAATACAAGACTTTAATCCTTTCCTCATACTCAGAATCCCTCACCTCACTGCCTTTTCTGTTTCATCTCTCACCTCTCTTGGTCCTGAAACTTTCTACTCTGCCTGACAGAACCATTAACGTCCCCTAAGTAATTTATATCTTTGGAGAAAGTTCTCCTACATTCCTCTTCCAAGGAAAAATTGCCTTTCCTGTCCAGAGTTGCACAAATCGTTGTTTTGTCACCCATACTTTAGAGACCGCTGGGTCTGAAGATGAGTAAAATATCATTAAATCACTACCCTTTATCTTGAAATCATCTAACAGTCTGAGCACTTTCTGATATTCCTAGGATCTTTAAGTTTCTCGTTGACTGTATTTCTCCATTAGCACTGACACTGTCTTTCTTGATGTTTCTAATATTTGTGTAGATAATTCAACCAATGCCTTGTACAATAAGCCTCATGTTATTTTCTCTTCCAGTGACTTTTATGACTCTCATCAAACTTACTCTATTTTAACTTTACTGGCCTCCTTTTTTGTCCCTGGGACACTCCAGGCATGCTTGCATCATAGAAATTTCCACATACTAGTCTTGTGGCTTTACTCTTTGTAATTCTTAGTCCATTTGTCTCCTTCTCAGTGAGTCATCTCCTCTTCAATTTAAGACTAAATACTCACTTCTCCCTGCACTCCTTATCTTCCTTCTTTGATTTATGTTTTCTCTTATTGTCCTTCTCTCCAAATGATACACTGTGTATTTTACTTATTCATTTTATCCATCTATATTATTCTTAGTCTGACACCCACTTTAAAAAATAGCCTCCACAAAGGCAGATAATTTTCTCTTCCCTTCTTTGTTGTATCTTCAATGTCTAGAAGAGTTCTTGGCACATGGAAGTTTCACAGATAAGAATTATTATAAATACTTTTTATTTATAAATAGTAACCACTTCATACTACCATTGACTTAAAACAGACTGTTAATGTATTCACTAGTTGATTTATTAATCAATGAATCCATCTATTAAGCATGCACATTTATCTTACTTTGTGAATAATACATTCATCAAAAGAGGTCTTTGAAAAGTTGTTTAAAGTAGACAACTTAAAGGATAAACCTGAGCCTGTTACTGTCTTTTCAGTCTAATCATAAGAAATTAAAGTTTATAATCAGAGCAGAATGAGCACATAGTGCTCAACAGAGCCAATAACATCTTCCAAACACCAATTGAAATGACAGAAAAACTTCAATAAGATATATTTTAATGCATTCTTCACTTTTCTAAAAAAATTATAAAAACATCAAATGAAAACCAACTAAATTACAAAGTTTCTTTATAATGCTTAAATAACCTAGTCCAACAAACTCTATAGTTTAATGTGAAGGAAAACTTTCTACTTTTTGTGTTACCAAGAAGTTATGAGTTCTTATAGACAGATAAATAGAACTATAAATGTATTAGCACTTACTATACCTAGTCACTGAAGTGAAATTCTTAATTAGAAATATGCCTAGTTAATAATATTTCTATAAGTCAATAATGGATTTTTATGAAATCTCAGTTGTAGATCCCTCTGCTCTAGACTCATCCACGTTAAATTTGAGAAGTTGTTCCATATGATCTCATCACCCTGACTTTATTTCCTTCTCCCTCACTACAGAATTCATGATATCATGGTAGACTAAGAGCCCTAGATCTGCGGTTATATGGTTTAGCAAATAAAATTAGGAATTCTAGGTAAAATTAAACCTCAAATAAACAACATTTATTTTTTCAAACATTATTATGTTTCATGCAATATTTGGGACAGAGTTATACTAACATTTGCTGTTTCTCTGAAATTCAAATTTAACTGATCATCCTCTATTTTATTCAGCAGCCATAGTTGGGCTTTCTCTACAACTGTACTCAGGTATAAAAAAATCAGCAGAAACACATCAATAACTCTACCAAATTACACTTAATAGCTTAATTCTCATTCTATTTGAAAGAATATTGCCATTGAAACACACAGTTGCCTTACTACGGAAGAAGTGTGCCACTCTGTTAATGAGACTAACATAGAAAACAGGAAATATATATATATATATATATATATATATATATATATATATATATATAGTTTTTGTATTTCGCAGTTAGGATTATCCCTAGGAAAAAAATAAGGAGGAGTATCTCACTGCACTCTAGGAGTTTCTAGGAGAGTTTTTCCTTTCCCATATTTCCAATTATCCAATACTCTTGAGAGTTGTGATTTTTTTAGGCATTTATTTATAAAGAATGACTGAATCAGCCTGTATATTATCAAAAACTCATTATTTGGTCTCTGCTTCTGACTTACGTGAGTAAATACACACACACATAGACATACATGTTCCTGAATAAATGTACAATGATCATTCCTTCCTAACAATGATCATTCCTTCCTGTGCTAAAAGAGAAAAATCTCAAGACCTCTCTCCTTTTTAAAAAAATAATCAAAACCCTCATGTGGCAATCCAAATTTACTGAACTACTGATGATAAATTGTACTACTTTAGTTAAGGCTTTTAGTTTACATTTATTCAAAGTAGTTGTAACATAAGGTTGGTCAATTTAAATACTGTGTATCCCTGATAAACAGACACACAGTCTTTACATTGAAAAGCTAATGAATACAAAGCAACAAGGCATTGTAAATAAAACAACAGTTACTGCAAGGTGAGCCTTATGATAATTTACACATGATAAATTACTTCTCACATTGCATGCATAGTACTTATACATCATTTAACACAAGGGTGTCCAGTCTTTTGGCTTCCCTGGACCACATGGCAAGAAGCAGCATTGTCTTGGGCCAAACATCAAATACACTAACACTAGTGATACCCAATGAGATTTTAAAAAATCGTAAAAATTCTCATAATGTCTTAAGAAAGTTTACAAATTTGTGTTGGGCTGCATTCAAAGTGATCCTGGGCTGCATGCAGCCTGTGGGCCATGGGTTGAACGAGCTTGATTTAACGTATCGACCAAAATATTACATATGTGACACAATCACTAACAGGCAAAAATACTAAACCTGTGAATTTAGTATTGCAAATACACTTATGCATGAGCAAGCAAGAGATTCACAATGAGAATCTATAGCTGCAGAAGCCCAAAATGATTTACAAAAATGGTTAAATCATAATAGTTGCTTGAAAATATATACTTCTTGTCATTGACCCCTATTGTCCATAAAACTATAAACATCGTCCACTAAGTAAACAAAAAGCAAACATATAGTAAGAGATTCGAAAAGTATAGACATTTCCTTCCTAACAGATAGGAAAGGCAACATCTTTAATCTAAGACATTATACTGATAGGACTATCATGTTTTAAAGACAAGATTACTGACTTTATAATTTTTAATTTATAATTGACTTTATAATTTTTTAAAAAAGTTATAAAACTATAGAGCTATGTTAATCAAAGTGCTTATTTTGTACAATACAATGACAAAGGCCTTGAATTTATTTTTAAAAATGACAAGCTACAAGTATTAAAGAAAGAAAGTTATCTGGAGTAGTCTTTATAGGGGTTCTTTGGACTTTCTTTTATTATGCTAAATTCGTGGTGCTTTTAGGATTTACATTATTGTACTCTTCAATACAAAGTAGGGGGCATGTTAAAGAATGCAGCACACCGCTTTCGTACATTTACCACGTTGGTGGATGAAGAATGTCTCTAAGATGTTGATATGTTTAAGAAAGTTGGAATGCACTGTTAAATTGGGTAACAGTTCTTCAGACCTAGCTCAGCGCTACAAGGCATTTCGTGTATTAAACCAGCTGACATGACTTTTTGCAAACCTTTCCAGGCACTGGAGATTTTCTGTTAATTTGTTGCACTAGGTTATAAAATAGCTAATTAACACTTATTTGTAATTTGGAAGATGATAAGAATGCAGTCTTGGTTGACTGTCTTGCTAGATGTTGACCTTGTTCCTTTTCTACAATTCTTTCGTCTTTCCAGTCACAATTATTACTGGCCAGAATCATTAGAACATCATCCATGTCTTTAACTTGAAGAATCTTTTCTCGTAGATATTGGGAATCATTAAATGTGGACTGTGCTATCATGAAATAAACTAATGCAAAGCCTTGTTTAGTTTGCATGTACGCATCTCTCATTGCTGCAGATTTTTCTGTTTTTGTGGTATCCAAGATTTCAAGCATACACTGTTGTGCGTCTACTTCAAGTTGCTTTCTGTAAGAGTCTTCTATTGTAGGATCATAATTTTCTTATTTTTTATTTTTATTTTTCTTAATTTTTTTTTCCTAAAGAAAGAGAAAGAAAAAAAAGAATAAAAAAAAAGAATAAAGAAGAGGAAGAAAGAGAAAGAAGAAGAGGGAGAGAGAATGGGGGTATTGCTTTATTGCCCGGGCTAGAATGCAGTCTAAATATGGGTATGCCTATAATTGTGCTTAATAATGGAGACATGAAAAAAAAATGAGGGAAGAAAATAACAAACAAGGACCAACCAATATTTCATTTAAACTTGTAAGTGGATATGATGTAGTACTGATAAGAGTGTATATTTTGTGTATTTAAAGTGGAGAGTTCCATAAATGTGGATTAAGTTTGCTTGTTCCAGATCTGAGTTCAAGTCCTGGATGTGGTTGTTAATTTTCTATCTCATTGATCTGTCTAATATTAATGTTGAAGTATCCCACTATTTTTATGTGGGAGTCTAAGTCTCTTTATAAGTCTTGTATATCTGGGTATTCCTGTATTGGGTGCGTATATATTTAGGATCTTTAGCTCTTCTTGTTGTTGCATTGATCCTTTTATCATGATATAATGTCCTTTTTTGCTTCTTTTGATCTTTGTTGCTTTAAAGACTATTTTATCAGAGGCAAAATTTGTAACTTCTGCTTTTTGTTTATTTATTTTTGCTCTCCGTTTGGTTGGTAAATCTTTCTCCATCCCTTTGTTTTGGGTCTTTGTGTATCCTTGCACGTGAGAGGGGTCTGGATGCAGCATACCGATGGGTTTTAGGCCCATTAGTTGGTGTAAATTCTTCATTATATTTATGCTCTTTACTTTTTGGTATTTTTTAGAAAGGCTGATACTGTTTGTTCCTTTCTATGTATAGTGGTTCTTTCAGAAGCTCTTGTAAAGCAGGCCTGGTGGTGATGAAATCTCTAAGTGCTTGCTTGTTCACAAAAAATTTTATTTTTCCTTCGCTTATGAAGCTTAGTTTGGCTGGATGTGCAATTCTTGGTTGAAAGTTCTTTTCTTTAAGGATGTTGAATATTGCCCCCCCCCCCCCACCCCCGTTCTGGCTTGTAGGGTTTCTGCTGAGAGATCTGCTGTAAGTCTGATAGGCTTCCCTTTGTGGGTAACCTGACTTTTCCCTTAGTATTTTCTTCTTCATTTCAACCCTGGTGAATCTGACGATTATGTGCCTTGGGGTTGGTCTTCTTGAGGAATATCTTTGTGGTGTTCTCTGTATTACCTGGAGTTGAATATTGTCCTGCCTTGCTAGGTTGGGAAAGTTTTCCTGAATAATATCCTGAAACATATTTTCCAGCTTGGATTCATTCTCTTCGTCACATTCAGGTACACCTATCAAACATAGATTAGGTCTTTTCACATAGTCCCATATTTCTTGGAGACTTTGCTCATTCCTTTTTATCCTTTTTTCTCTAATCTTGTCTTTTCTCTAATAATTTTCAACATAATATCCTTGGACAAATTGTAAAGGCAGAGCTGACATTCCAGTGGCTCCTGAGCCAGGGACGACTAGCTTATACTCATGCATGATGAAAACTTGTCAAAATCTAATGCCCCCCATCCTGTCACTGGGTCCCCACAGCCAGTTTCACCCTGCGCTCCCGCTTGCTGGCGCCACTGTGGTCCTGTCACTGCAACCCCTCTGGCTGGTTTACATGCTTGGCTCTGCAAGTCTCAAGATTTCTAGAAAATTTTAATGGGTGTGAAAAGAAAGAAATGTTTGTTTCTACTTTGTTTTCATATCTTCCTACTTTTATTAAATTATATCTCCATAGTGAGGTATAATTTGAGATATAATTTTGGTATTTATATATCTTTCTTATCTATTAGTAATATTTTTCTCATTTTTGCATTCTGCCATTGAGATTTATCTCTGCCAAAATCTAAAATTCGGAGCCTGATAAAGCTCTGAAAAGTGTCTATGATACTTAGTTCCCTTTAAATTAAAAGAAACAACAAAGTAACATTAACACTTTCTATCTCTTTGTTTAAGATTTCCCAATATATGCCTCAGGGACAGTGTCTTTTACTACTCAGACTCAGGGAAGCCTTGAATCCAGAGAAGACTTACCATCACTTGGATGAATGGGCCCCATAAAACACTGAGATAGTAAGTGCTGGGCTTAAGGTAACACAGCAGTGATGGGAGTTTTAAAGCAATCATCACTCCTTCTGAAATATTTCTGTTCACATAACTCACAGAAATCTTTGCATCGATCAGTTAACTTGAAAAACTGTATTTCTGTCAACCAAAGAAGCTAAGTTGTCCTTTATGCAATTACCAGTAACCTGTGTTTTTTATCCCTTCAGATATAGTTTTACTAGCAGTTTAGGAGCTGTTGTCACTGGGATAATCCGAGATGCCCACTTTGAGGTTGTACTTCACACAGTCTGTCATATGACCATCTTTGAGAGCGCCATTTACAGCAGAATTATACATGTACGTCCTACCACCAACTGAATAATGTATGTTGCATTTGTGACTAAGTCAGGGGTATCAATTATTGCTTTAAGTATAACTCTTAACTGAGACAATTTAGTTTTCAGTTTCAAAACTGTTAGAAAACTCAGCAGACCCAAATATTAAGTTAATTTGAAATTAAATGATATAGAAAGAAAAGTACAATTAAAAAAAAGCCAAAGACACATGGTTGATTATTTTCTCTGATTCCAACTGTATTCAATATTTTTCCAAAGTTCTAGTTCATTCTCTACTTGGTCTTCAGTGAACTGCTCATATAGATATAACTTCAATCAATCAGAATGTTTATTTTTCACTTCTTGTTTTAACACTAGAATAAATATGTGGATATAGAGTTAAGGTAAATTTATTGATTACATATTGTGAATTTTAGAACACTGTGGTTCTTTTCTAGTTCATAGTAGATTTCTAGTAGGTCTAGAAATCTATTAACTATATAAATAAATGTTTCTTTTTTCCATACAAGTTCAACATAGAAAGTCATATAACCACATTAGGTATATGACAAGGATATAATGAAAACCTACCCTATTCTAACTCTGTGCTGAGATTTAGAAATACAACCAATGGAGAAAACCGACAAAAATAAGTAACTGGTCAACTAAAATATCACACTGTGGTGAGAACTAGGAGGAAGGAAACCAGGTAACTGATAGTGAACAATGGAATGTGTATGAGGATGAAGGAGTGAGAGGTTGATTAAGACAGACTTTATTTTGGAGAACTGAAGAGACAGATTCTAAAAGTTAAGGAGAGTCATATTAAGATAAGAGGGTAGAGGAAAATCCATGAAGTAAGAAGAACTTTAACATATTTCAGAAACTAAAGAAAGGTTGGAATGGCTAAATTCCAGAAAATAAATGGGAAAGTGACAGTATACCAAATGAGATTGTTATATACAGATTCTGCAGAACATCTCAGGTTCTACAAAAACACCAGATTTTCTTTAAGGTATTGTAGTGAAATACTAATGAAAGAGAGAGAGAGAGAGAAAGAGAGAGAGATTATTAAGAAATATAAATAGTTGGAGATTTTACTTTACTTGCAAGATGATAAATTAGCCTAACAGAATTAGGAATGCTGCTAGAAGGCTTGAGACTCTTGAAACAAAGACAAAGGCCATTGCCATTCACAGCATTGCAAGTAGCATGAGAATCTACATATTTGTTCCAGTTCTTCTTATTTCCAAGTCTCACATTAGCAATGCAGATGGGCACAGATGGAGACTGAGACAGGCAATGAATAGGTGTTGTTGCAGGAGAGGGATTCTGAACTGATGAAACATACATCTTTAGTAATGAATAGCCTGCCCTTTCTCAAGGGAAAGATGTCATCTTCATCTTCATTATAAAGGACTGTAAACATGCTTACACTTGGGTCTAGCAGGAGATACATTATCTTTGAAAATTATCTATTTGCTCTAAAAATATCCTTCAAAAAACAGTCTAGATTTTTTGAAGGATAGGTAACTGCTTCCATTCCCAAGACATGCAGAAATGCAAGCAACCCATGGTTAATTGTTTTTCAACAGTCAGGTTCTGATTTATATTTTAAGCAAATTTATATTTTATATTTTAAGCCAATCATGATGCATGGAGAATATTAAGAAGAAGTGTGTTATGTATGATGTTATGTATGATGACCACTGGGATATCACCATATAACTATGAGATGTGTCTTGGTGGAAGGGCAGATAATTCTGGCCTGAACTAGGCATATGCCTATTAAGATAGAGAAAACTCAACAAGTCAGTATATATTTTGGTGGTAAAATTGGCACAATTTATAAATTTTTGCTTAATTGCATAGATGAAATAATTTGAAGTCAAACATTTATTGGGATAGACATGTTTATGGGTATGGGAAAATACAGTCGTATTTACTGAAGCAATAAAAAATTCAATTTTGAATATGTAAGGCTTAAAATAAATATAAAGTAATGAATATGTACAAGATGAGGCTCAGAAGAAAGTTGTGCATGAAAATGATTTTTGGAGTCAACAACTAGACAACGTATGAATTCCTGAGAATGAATGAAATGTCCCAACAATCATTAAAAATGATTTAAAGAGAGAATAGTGAACTCAAATACATGTAAAGAAAACCCATTAGAGGATATCAGATATTGGAAGAGGTACCTGAATGTTTAGGAAGTAGATGTAAAAGGCAGATTATTGTATCATAAAAGAGAAAAAGAAAAGAAAACCCACAAATAAATTTAACACTGCCAGAAGGATACAGACATCTGGTTCAAATTGTCCTTACTACTTTGTTTGTCATTAACTGGGAAAGCTTAATGGAGTAAACTTTTCTAACTATACTTAAACAATTATTCTGGTAATTTTTTAGTCAATAAAACAATTTTATAGAAGACAATTGTGTTACTTTTTATAACTAGAATTTTTTCACATACTGTTCAATATCATATAAGTTATTATATTTCTGATCCAGAAATAATCATGTTCCTATTAGAAATAATGACACAGCCAGGAATGGTGGCACATGCCTGTAGTCCCAGCCTCAGGAGGCTGAGGCTAGAAAATCTCTTGCCTCCAGGAGTTCTGAGCTGCAGTGTGCTATGCCCATTGGGTATCCGCACTAAGTTCGGCATCAATATGGTGACCTCCCGGGAGGTGGGGGACCACCAGGCCTAAGGAGAGGTGAATAGGCCCAGGTCCAAAACAGAGCAGGTCAAAACTCCCGTGCTAATCAGTAGTGTAATTGTGCCTGTGACTAGCCACTGCACTCCAGCCTGGGCAACATAGTGAGACCCCGTCTTTAAAAAAAAAATTATATATAAAAAAAAGAAATAATGGCACAATATAAAAATTATCATTTATGAATGTATTCTACAATATATAATAGTCACAACATGGTAAATGGGGTATTCATCACCTGAAACGTTTATCTTTTGTGTTATAAATAATCTAATTATACTCTTTTAGTTATTTTTAAATATACAAACGATTATTGACTATAGTCACCTTGATATGCTATAAAATAGTAGATCATATTTATCCTTTCAATTTTTTTGTACTCATTAACTCCATTCTTCCACCACATCCCACCTCTACTATTCTCAACCTCTGGTAACTGTAATCCTACTCTATTCCCATGTGTTCAATTGTTTTAATTTTTAGCTCCCACAAATAAGTGAGAACGTGAGAAGTTTGTCTTTCTATCCCTGTCTTATTTCACTTAATGTAACGATCTCCAGTTTCATCCATGTTGCTGCAAATGACAGAATCTCACCATTTTTTATGGTTGAATAGTGCTGTATTGCATATATGTACCTTATTTTCTTTATCCATTCATTTGTCAATAGATCCTTAAGTTGTTTCCAAATCTTTGCTGTTGTGAATAGTGTTTTAATAAACACAGGAGTGCAAGTATCTCTTCTCTATCCTGATTTCTTTTCTATTAGATTTATATTTAGCAGTGGAAATGCTAGATAATGTGGTAGCTCTATTTTTCATCTTTTGAGAACTATTCACACTTTTCTTCACAGTGATTGTAATAATTGACATTCCCACGGACAATATGGGAGGTTTCCCTTTCCTGACATCCTCACAAGCATTAGTTATTGCCTGTCTTTTAGTAAGAGCCATTTTATCTGGAGTGAGATGACATCTCATTGTAGATTTGATTTTGCATTTCTCTGATGATCAGTCATGTGGAATACCTTTTGCTATTTGTATGTCTTCAAGAAATATCTGTTCAGATATTTTGCCAATTTTTTAGTCAGATTATTAGATTTTTACCTTAAGAATTGTTTGTGCTCCTTATATATTTTGGTTATTAATCCCTTGTCAGATAAGTAGTTTGCACATATTTTCTCCCATTCCGTGAGTTATCTCTTCACTTTGGTAATTGTATCCTTTGCTATGCAGAACTTTTTAACTTGACGTGATTTAATTTTCCATTTTTGCTTTGGTTGCCTGTGCTTGTGGATTATTGCTTAAGAAATCTTTGCCCATTCCACTGTCCTGGAGAGTCTCCCCAGTGTTTTCTTTTAATAGTTTCATAGTTTGAGGTCATAGACTTAAG